CAGGGGTCAGCTCGATACTGTACATGGGTGAGGTAAGGTCTGGGGATCAAACCCCGGGATCTGCATCTGCCTCTGCAAAGGTGAAAACCGTTTCACTCCTGCCGGCCTAAATTCGAGGTCCTCCGAGAATATCTTAGTCCAAGGCAGGACCTTTGCCTTTCCTATCTCGCTCATAGGCCCTAACTATGTCAGGAGCTGTTTCTAGAAGTTCAGTCCTAGTAAACCAGCGGTCGTCTTCTGGTTCCTGATATGCGAATCTAACTTTATATTGCTTTTGAGGACGACCTCTACCTCCTGTTCTGAATACATCTTCATCTACAATGCCGTCAATGTCGTATCTTCCATCCATATCCGGCGGGATCATGGACCTTCTGGAGGGAAACTGTTGACTTGTGACACACGACAGTAACTTGGATGCATGGAATACTGGGTAGGTGTGGAGGTGCGCTGGAATCTCTACCGTATAGGACGGCCCATCCTCTCCGCCTTTAACTTCTAGAACTGGCCACGGTCCGCTATACGCAGGCAGTAACTTTTGTGAAATGTTCTCCTCATGAGCAAACTCCTTTGACTTGACCCAGACTAAGTCGCTTACTTGAAACTGTGACGGGCGACGATGCGTGTTGGCTTGCTCTATCATCCTATGCTGGGCCTTCCTGAGGTTCTCTACAACGGTAGCTAACTCTTTCTCGTGCTGTAACGCAAACTCCCTAGTACCGTGCGGTAGCCTATGAATCTGATCCCGGTTAAGTCCCTCAAACGGTCTGCGTGGTCTGAAGGACTTGTGTAACTCGTTGGGAGTGCGACACGTGGACAGGTGCACGCTGTTATTGTAGGCACTGGCTACCTTTGGGAGCATCTCATCCCAGTTAGTCTGATCAGGCCTAATGTACATTCTCAAAACTTGTTGCAGGATCTTGTTCATTTGCTCAGTCTGACCGTTGGTCTCTGGATGACGGCCCGACGACATCAACAACTTAGAGCCATAGACTCTCATCAACTCCTGCCAGTTCTGACTGGTGAACCGGGTATCTCTATCACTAACTATAGCCAATGGAACCCCGTGTTCACTGACCCAGTGATCGAAAAACTTTTGGATCACTACCTCGGTCCGTGCCTCTGAAGGCAAAGGAATAAAAACTGCATATTTGCTAAATCTATCAACTATGACCATAACTTGGCTCTTGTCGTGCCTACTCTTGATGCCAGCGTCCATAAAGTCAATGGACATTGAATCTCCAGGCTGATCAGGAATAGGCAGGGGTCTGAGAAGACCTAGAGGGGCACGCGTAGTGGTCTTATTCCTTTGACAGACTTTGCAACTGCGGACATACTCTATGCAGTCATTTTTCATTCCTGGCCAAGTGTACGCGTGCATCAGGTTAGCTAAAGTCTTCCGCCACCCGAAGTGTCCCTCTGTATCGTGACATTCCCCCAGGATCAAACTACGGATCTCCTCACTATTGGGAATGCACAGCCGGTCAACCACATCGAATAACAACCTCTCGGTAGTGCGGTAATCTGGCTCAGTCTCTGGGGCCTTAAGAAGGTCACTGTAAATAGGGTCCTGCGCTTACGCCTCTCTAATTTTCTGTTGCAGGTTTTTCCCTATATCCAGATAGTGTACTATCGCTCCAAAGTTGTCTGCTCTCCTACTTAGAGTGTCCGCAACTACATTGTACTTCCCTTTTACTGGCTTGAGCTCAAAGTCGTACTGGTCTATCTCTGCGGCCCACCTAGTCAACTTAGGTGTCATCTTGGCTTGAGTCTTCAGCCACCTCAATGTCTCGTGGTCTGAATAGGCTTTAAAGTGCCTCCCAAGCAAGTTGTGCTTCCAGTGGTCTACACGCTTGCCTGGGAGCGTAGAGTTCCTTCTCATAGGTAGATGTCGCTACCTTCTCAGAAGGCATTCTGGCGGACATGAACTCTACGGGCCTATACCCATTGCCATCGTGTTGCTGTAGTACAGCGCATATGCCGTACTGGCTCGCGTCAGTAGTGACGACGAAAGGTAGGGACGGATCAGCTACCTTAAGGATTGGGTGCTCTATCAGTGCCTGCTTCAATTTCTTCATGGCAGACGTGCAGTCCTTGTCCCACTTCCAGATCGCTTCTTTCTTTAGCAATCTGCGAAGGGGCGCAGCGATGGTGGAGAAGCTTCTCACTGTTGGCTAGGCCTAAGAATGACCGCAACTCTGTCAACGTACGAGGTGTAGGCCAATCTCTAATCGCTGCGATCTTGCAGTCTTCTGGTTTGACGCCGTCTCCGTCTAAGACGTGGCCTAAGTACAAAACTTGGGTCTTCGCCCATTCACACTTCTTCGCATTGATCTTGAAGTTAGCTTCTCTCAGCTTCTCCAAGACCTGCCTGAGATGACCCTGATGCTCTTGGAGGGTCTTGCTAAACACTAGAATGTCATCTAAGTAGACAACTACAAATTTGTCCAACCACGGCCTAAACAAATCATTCATGCAACGCTGAAAAGTTGTTGGCGCGTTGGTCAGTCCAAAGGGCATCACTATGAACTCATAATGCCATCTAGTCCGGAAAGTTGTCTTATACTGGTCATCAGGATGAACCTCTATCTGATGATATCCGGACTTCAAATCTATCTTGGAAAAATATTTGGCGCCCTGCACTCTATCTAGGAGATCATCTATCCTGGGCAGTGGCTCAACATTCTTCATTGTGATAGCATTCAGACCCCTATAGTCTATACACATCCTAAGCTCTCCCTCTTTCTTGGGGACGAATAGAACAGGTGTTCCAAATGGAGATGAACTGGGCCTAATTCATTGCTCTCTAACTGCTTGCGCAGTTCCTCCAATTCCCGCGGGGACATCCCTTAGGAGTTTTACTGCCAGGCTCTATCTCGATGCGATGCTGGATGGGCCGCGACACTACTCCTGTTGGCGGCTTGGCTAAGTCTGTAAACTCCTCTAGCAGCTTGGCAATAGCAGGGTGTATAGGCTTCTCCTCCTTAGGCTCAGTCACTGGCCTAACATAGGCTACAAAAGGGCCTAACATAGGCTACAAAAACCTGTTCCTCCAGCTGCTCCTTCTTTACTAATCTTGCGAACGCAGGAGCACTAAGGCAGCAATGTGCCAGAGAGTTGTCTACTCCTGACACATGATACAGGCGGGCAGTCTTAAGCTCGCGTGAGGGACTAGGGAGCCTACACTCGTGCTCTCTCAAATGGAGTGTGGCCCCGGCTGCCTCTCCCCAGTCCATACCTAGGACTATGTCAAATGGGAGGTTGTCTTCTACGAGGAGAGTCAGGGAGTGGAGAACTTTCTCCACCTTTCCATCTTTTTCTAGGCGAAAGTACGCCTGGACTCCCTCTACATAATCCTCTACCGTCATCATGCAGTTGTCTGCGAGGATACTCACTACGGCGTCTGCTAGCTTTTGGACCTTGAGTCCCAGCTTCAACTTCTGCAGCGCTTTTCCACTGATATAGCTGCGGGTGGCCCCTGAGTCTACTAGGGCCCCTACTCTGCCTCTAAAGATCTCTACATCTACTAAAACTAGCTGTCCCCTATTCTCTTTCCTCATCTTGGCCCAGGCGGACATCCTCTCCTTCAATTCCTTGGCCACGCCTGTGAGGGAGGTGTCTAGAGAGACTCTAACACAAGCAGTCTCTGGACAACTATCTAGACACCGGCCTGCAACCTCTGCCATAGGCACATGTGGTGTGGGAGTCTCGTGCCGGCTAGCGTTGTTTTCCCCACATGGCCTTATGGTAGGGGCAGTCGCCACCCGTACCGGCGACTGATCGGGTCTCTCTGTACTTAGGACAAAATTTAATAATGTGGCCAGGGTCACCGCAGTAAATGCACTGCCCCTGGTCCACACGCTATTGCCACACGCGCTGGTCCAGACCCAAATCTTCCCAAGGTCTGCCCTGAGGCAGCCCTGGGTGCCAACCACCTCTCCTATATAGGGACTTGTTTCCCCTATTGGGAGACCTGTTTCCAAAACGGTTTCGCGGGGGACCTTGACCCCTTCTTCCCGCTTGGCGGTGCCCTCCTCTGCCGCCAACCCCCTGATCGTCCTGGGCACGGCCTCCTGAGGCCCGGGCCCCCTTGGCCCTAGCCTTTCCTCCTTGCGGCCTCCCTCCAGCCGCGACAGCAGCGCAAGTCCTCCCCTGGCTCACACTACTGCCATCGTCCTCTAGCCCCCACTCAATCTGATCATAGGGGACTTCATCAACACTACCCTCGTCCAAGGTAAGGATCAAACGATCCTTAGTCTTTACCTTCCCTGAGATGGTGTGGCCCTTCCACCTTTTTCCCTTATCTAGGTCCTTATGCCAGAAAGTGGAAATGACGTGGACCTGGCCTCAAATGCCACCACTTCCCTGCTCAACGCGTCATAGGTCATGGTGGGTTGCTGGCTCTTCTCGAAGAAGTGGCCACGCAACGCTTCGGGCATAGCCCGGTAGAAGAGGTTGACCAACTGGGTCTCTGTGACCCCGTGGTCAGGGACAACCACTAACTCGTCCATCATACCTTTGAGTGCCTCAGCACTCTTCCACTGTCGGGAATGGATCGTATGTAGACGATCAGAGGCCTTGACACTGCGGGCGACATCTGCAAATCGTTCGCGCAACAGTTTAAGGAAGTCAGTGAGGGGGGTGAATGCAGAATAAGCAACAACATCATCATTGCAATTAGCAGCGCGGACTAGGGATCGTGCGAAGTTGGCGGCTTCATCCTTCAGCGCATGGATAGCGATGAGAACATGCTCATCAAGGGAGACCTTCTGCAAATGCACGTACGTCTTAACGTTGGCCTCCCAATTGTCAAAGTTCTCTTCCTTTTTCCCACTGTAGGAATCAGGAAACTTGACTTTGACGGGCTCCCTACGGGGACGTGCCTCCTCCTCCTTGGGAGCAGCCAGCTTGGCGCCCTCTATGGCGCCCGTACAATAACGCTCAGTGTTCTCGAGGCGAATCTTCACCTCTGAGCCTATCGCCGTTACTAACTCACGCGCGAAACCCCTGAACCCCATTCGCATAGAGCGCACGGCCAGATCTTGAACCCTACTGAACTCATATTGTCCTCCTGGGCCCTTGCTAATCGCTCGAT